AGACTGAGATATGAATAAAAAAAGAAGAAACAAACGTACACTCTCTCTCTCTACCCACTTAAAGTCTTAGATATTTCTTTCTACCCTTTTCTTCCTACTCTCTTCAATTTCTGTTTGCTTTTCTTCTTTTTTTTTTTTTTTTTTGTCCCTCAATTATTTTCTTATTCTGCCCTGTCTGGCTTCCTTTTTTTTTTTTTTTTTTTTCAAAATATATTTATCCTGCTTTTATTAACTCTCTCTCTCTCTCTTCAACCTCCATCTCTCCCTGCTTTTCCTCTACCTCTCTTTTACATTTTTTCCCTCCTTTTTGCTCATGGACCCAGTGAACCCACTTTTTTTTCATTCCTTTAAAAATAGAAAAAAAAATTGTACAATTTCCCCATACATTCCATTTTATAATTCTCTTCAAAACATCATTTCTGTAAGTAAGTTTGATAATTTGCCTGGCGTATTTTCAGCTATCAAATCTTGAAAAAAAAAATATTAAACTTCACATTCTCCATCCATCATCAACTGTTGAGAGAAAAGTTTATTTTTTATTGTTTTTTTTTTTTTTTATTGATTTGTTTTTTACAGCTTATCAACCCTTTGCAGGTTATTTAAAACCAGTAAATATTTTTAGATTGTAAGAAATTTCTGGAGAAAATAATGATTTTAGTGATACAAGCTTTTCCAAGGGTATTTGTGTAACAAACCCAACTGAAAAAATTAGAACTCAGCTTTCTGATTAAAAATTCTGAGCCATTATCCATTGCATTATCTGTATATTCAAGCTTACAGTACCATCTAGGTACTGACTAGGCTTAACTTTGGTGATCATATGGAACTGATCTTTCAATATCATGTGACCATAAACCAAACCCCTATTCTAGTAGAATAGCATTGTGGTTTTCAACTTTCTCAGAAGGAAGAAATTGTTCTATCAAGAATCAGAATAAGACACACACATATCATTCAGAGTTCTCCGAAAAAAAAAATGAATGTCTTCCTGGATGCACAGCATGTCAGGGACCTTATACCATAAAACATATTCTAACCAATTTTAGTGACCTTCCTGGAAAGTGTTTTAACAGAGGATGAAAAGAATGTAACTCTGAGATCTGAACATACAATGGATTAGCAAAAGAAGCATTGCAAAGGTTAAGCAAGGTGCTGAAAAATGGAAAATTCTGAATAGAAACAAAAAAATGCTGGATTGATATGTGATATCCATCCTGTTATATGACAGTTATCCATTATACCACTTGCATATCCAAACTCACAGCACCTAGTATTCCGAAGTGGTCACCCATCTAGATACTGACCAGGTTTGATATTGCTTAACTCTGGTGATCGTACAGAAACTGGTGTTACAACATTATATGATTATAAGTAACTTTGGGAACTTGAAAACATAGAATTACAAATTTTTTTTTTTTTTTTTTTTTTTTTTAAATATTAAAACTATTCCCATCTTCAATGTCTGGGCCATTTTCTATCTTGATTTTTCAGGTTGAATTTTTAATTTTGTCCTGTTTCTTTTCTTTTTTTTTCTTTTTTAATCACTCACTCACATAATTTATTTAGTACCAATATTGTGTTTGTATTGTTGCCTTCTTGTGAAAGCAAATCTGATTATGAAGATAAATATAGTCCATAGAATATTAAATATTAATATACAACCCTTCCTGAAATATAGGACAGGAATTATACATCTTGTTAGACTTAGACATCCTCTGCGCCATACTCACTCTATTTCCTGATCAGTCACTCATATTAAAATTGGTTTGGGCACCTTGACTTTTTGTAATGGTTAGCAAGATTGTCTCACTATATCAATTACAACTGAGTAGTGAGTTCAATCCTCAGTGGGAGCTCCACACTTTCAGCCATCTAAGCTACACTTGGAAAATCATTTTCAGCACTTTGATATGATATTATAAGCAAGCTTGTCTCACTCTATCAATTATGACTGAGTAGTGAGTTTGATCCTCACTGGGTGCTCCATACTTTCGCCCTTGTGCCACATCTAAGCTATGCTTAGTAAATAGCCATATTAAAATTTTGTTATACAAATATATTTTGTCTTTATAAGAAAAAAAATTTAATTGTAGAATTGCATTTTTTTATTCTTTAACATAAAATTAAATAATTCAAAAAATTTTTTTTTTATTTATTTACAAATTATTAATTTCATTTTTAAAAATATTTTGGTTGTTGCCGCATTTCAGTGAATTCATTCTATAGCCTTCTTCAGGTTTCTTTTATGCTCTGTGTCCCTTCAGGACATACACCATTGCATGGCTCTCCATAATATCCCATCCTTTGTAGCTTTTAATAAATTTTGTCTTTTTATTAATTCTCCTAAACCTTGCTCCACCATTAATTTACTCAAGCTTTCTAGGTATTGTTTTCTGCTATCCTTCTTGCCTTCATTCTCTCCTGTAGTGAGTGTGTATATATATATATATATATATATATATATATATATATATATATATTTTTAATTGGTATCATCCTATACAAGGCAGCAAAGCCACTACGACGCAAGGGGTTACAGGGTGTGTAAGAAATAGGAACAAACATTAATGATGAGCAGGAAGAGAAAAGAGTAATCAGGAAGACAGTAGATAGCAATTGATATTGCATTTAAATTTTTGCACATTAAAGTTGGCTAGGAAGCATGGAGCCAGAAGGTAGTTCTACAAGTGAGAATTGTGAGATAAGAAACTGTTGGCATAAAATTTATCGTACCATCTAGCCAGCTCGACTGTAAATTGATGAGATCTTGACTGCAATGAGTCTAGTACAACGCTTAAATTAAAAATAGTCTAAGTACCATAGTGAAGAGCTCATCAGAACAATTACCATGAAACTATTTATAGAAAAGACACAGGGAGACAACTTTATGGTGATGGGAAAGTGACTAAAGCCAAGTCACCAGATCAGGACCAATAATATTGTTTTTCAATGTTGCACTTTCTGTTGTCTGTTAAAACACTCCCTAGATATTTAAATTGTTGTACTTGTTTAATTTTGGTATTTCTAATTTGTAATTTGCATGTTGAGTTGTTCCTTTTGCTAGCAACCATGCATTTCGTCTTCTTGCAGTTGATGTTTAGGTGTACAGTCAATAAAAGGTGGTTTCTTTTTCTCTCTTTTCAGTAGGTTAAAGAATATAGGAATGAAGAAAGAAAGAAACAACAAAAAAAAAAAAAAAATGAAAAAAATCCACTGCACCTCTTAAAACCAAACTCTAAGAACATAATAAAGCTATATCTGGAGGGGAAGTAAAATGGTCTAATCTAGCAGGGGTGTGTTTGAAAGAAGAAAGGATTACAATATTCTATTTAGGATGAAGTTTAAGTAATAGATAGGGAGTATCACGAGCATGCAATGAAAACAAAAGTAGTCAAATGTAAGGCTAGTGTGATCTTCAAGATGTTATGTATCACCTTAACAAAAAAAGAATTGGAGAGCAGCTTCATGTAGATGATTTTTTTTTTTTAAAAAAAATGAACTTACCTGTGTTACCTGCATCGCTGAGAAAGAGTTGGTCTGATCAGTACATTTTTAAATATTTATTTTCTGGTTTGCAATATGAAAAACAGGAGAAGCTCCTGTTTTTTCTGTACAAATTTGACACTTAAAATCTATGGATGATTTGAAATGTTTTGGTAAAAACAAAACAAAAACAAATTAGATGAATGGTTCAAACAACTCTTTGAATGATAATTTTTCTCAAAAGTGTAGAGGATATCTTCTATGAATTAGATGTTAAATCTCTGTATTAGTTTTACAATCAGTGTGTTATTTCTATTTTAAAAATTCTTTTCTTATTTTTTCTTTTTATTTATCATTTATTTTTTTTTAATTTGCTTTACTCATGATTTTAAATCAGAATAACATTTTTTTTCTGTTTCAGATCATCGATAGCAGAGAGGTTTCCAAATGATCTCCAGTCAGCTCTTGTCAATTTCACAGATCTATATGGTCAGTCTTCAATTCATCTACCAAGCCTGTTCACCTACCTGCCACACCTGTCACGAAATCCAAATGGTATGAAACCTGCCTATAAGCTCTCGCGTAACAGATTTGGAGGTGAGTTCATGCCTTTCTTCTGATGTTTTTTAAATTTTTTGTCAGTCTCATTTCCTGCAGATTTCTTGTTTCAACCTCTTTTTCTTTCGGACTTCTCTTTTTGCCCCCTCTTTCTCTTGGACTTCTCTTTTTTTGCCCCTCTTTCCTTCAGACATCTCTTTCCGCCCACCCTTCCTCTCAGGCTTCTCTTTCCGCCCACCCTTCCTCTCAGGCTTCTTTTTCCGCACACCCTTCCTCTCAGGCTTCTCTTTCCTTCCCACCCTTCCTCTCAGGCTTCTCTTTCCGGATCACCCTTCCTCTCAGGCTTCTCTTTTCGCCCAACCCTTCCTCTCAGGCTTCTCTTTCCAAAATAAAGACCTTCCTCTCAGGCTTCTGAGAAAGCCCAATGTTCCTCTCAGGCTTCTCTTTCCGCCCACCCTTCCTCTCAGGCTTCTCTTTCCGCCCACCCTTCCTCTCAGGCTTCTCTTTCCGCCCACCCTTCCTCTCAGGCTTCTCTTTCCGCCCACCCTTCCTCTCAGGCTTCTTTCCAACCCTTCCTCTCAGGCTTCTCTTTCCGCCCACCCTTCCTCTCAGGCTTGTTTAGCTGATAAGAGTAGATAGGTTTACATATCGTCCAGTTCACACTCCTCCCTGGTCTTTTGCTTTTCTTACAATATTATTGAAAAGAAACTATGAGATTATCAAGCATTATAACAATACTGAATTTGTATGAATAATAAATTAATAAGAGGTATAGCGTCTTGGGTATAACGATAAACTACATCTGGCAGCAAGGTCTCTGATTGGGAGATTGGAGATTTTGAGGAATATGAAACCAACTCTTAATTGCTGTTGTTCCAAAGTCCACTCTGACCTGGGGTGGTAGCACCTGTTAGGGTACCAGCTATGGGCAAATAGTCAACTACCATACAAATAACAATAGTATATTTTTTATAATAAAATGACCAACAATACACTTCTTATAATAAAATGACAGTACAATACTAAAAAATATATAGAAATACATTTTTATAGTAAAATTACCAACAAAACATTTCATGACCTACAAACTATATATCTAAAAAAAAAAAAACACACCTTTATCCTGAAAGTATAAAATTATGTAAAAAAAAATATCTGTAGTTGGAGGCAATAAAATTGCGTTCAAAATATTTAGATTTCATCATTAAATAACCAATGGAGGTTGATATGACACTAAACAAAATCAAACAGCCAACATTCCCTTTGTGTTCTTTTGGTGAGATGTAAGTTCCACGTAAGCAGCTTCTTGCCATGAACCACTTCCCTGTGAAACTGACCTCCAAGAGGTTGATTCCCAAATCATTACAATCTTAACTTTTTCAGGTCTAGAGTTAACCATTATTTTCTCCACATATTCCTATAGACGATATCTTTTACTCTGTTACCTTCTACCTTGAGTGGCCCTTGGACTTGTACAGGGTGAACATAAAAAAAAAAGAAAACAGTGACTATAAGAGTTTTAAATTTGTCATATTGCTAATAGAAAAAAATGGTTAAATGAAAATAGTTTCAATTGTTTTGTCTGCCTCTTGCATATTGTCTTCTAATTTTGAGAAAACATTTGTTCCTCAATTAAAGTTAGTTAAATCCTAATGTATATATATAAGAAAAAGTAAAAAAATGGAGGAGGACCAATGATAATTTTTGTTCCATTAATCATTTATGAAAAGAGGCAACTGCTCTGACGAACTTCTTTTTTTTCCCTGGTTCCCCCGAGTATATGATTTTAAGCACACTGCTAGATTGGCAACTAGGTCTCACTGTTTTACTGTTAAACTAGCTAGATGCAACTGCCACTTATGCTCTAACAGTTTCTTTTCTCGCACTTCTCACATGTGGAACTCCCTTCTGATTTCTTGCTTCACTGATAACTACAATCTTCAAAAATTTAAATACAATGTCAATCTCCATCTTCTGTCTTCTTGAACCCTTTTCCTTTTTTGCCCTTTCCTTAATCTTCTGCATTCTTAATCTTCTCATTCACTTTTGCTCCCTGTAACCTCCTGTGAACTAGTAGGATTATCACTTTGCTTAGGGTGAAACGATTAAAAAAAATTTTTTTTTTTTTTTTTTTTTTTAAATTTGTTATACTTATTTAAAATCTAAAGGAATATTTAATGTTTTCAAAAAAAAATTTTTTTTTTTTTTTTTTTTTAAATTTGTTATACTTATTTAAAATCTAAAGGAATATTTAATGTTTTCAAAAAAAAATTTTTTTTATATCTTTCAGTTTCTATGGTGTTCGGCATTCCAACAATTAAGCGAGAAAAAGTCAGTTATCTCCTTCGAACGCTGCATTCCTTAATTGACGGACTGAATGAAGAAGAACGTGAAGACTGCTTATTAATTGTTTTTGTGGCTGAGGTAATGTGACATTATGAAATAATTAATTTCTTTATTGTTATTGTCCTTATTTATTATTGACTTTTTTTCTTCTAATGGCACATCAGGATGTAGACGATCATTTTGTTTATTATCTGTGAATTACCATTTGTTATTATAAAAGATAAGTGTTTTCTGTTGCTTTCTCTATAATCTAAATCAATGCTTCTTGAACTATGGGTCGCAACCCAAAATGCTGGGGTGGTGAAAATTAAATTCAAACAGTTGAATTTCAGTTTGTTATTTCACAAATGCACAATATTTAATGTGATGCACCACGCAAACACAGCAGCAATAAAACATACATGAGGCACCATTGTAACTAGTGCAGTGACAACAGATGTATTTTCAGTGTAGTTGGTTAATACCTGGGGTCACGAAAAATATCGTCATGAATGAAAAAGTTTAAAAAGTGCTAGTCTAAATCATTAATACTCCCAAGTGCTTTGAGTTAATCCGTTAGCCATTTTTAAGGATTTTGGTTGAGTTATTACAAATGGTGATATTATAGATGTGTTTTTACTTCCTGAACATGGCCAGTATATTATGGCCGTGTTTGTAATTGATGTACTTATGGTTTAATTTTTGTTCTTCATGAGAGCTTCTCTCACCTCTTACTGCAGAAAAAGTTTAAAAATCATAGAAGCTCTCCTAATAAAAAAAAACAATCTCTAACAACATGACCTATAAACACAGCCATCATGTACTGGCAGTGTTTGGGAATTCAAAATACATGTCTACGTGCCAACAACCTACACAACATTTGTAATAGCATTAGCAATGTCCTTGAAAATAGCTAATTGATTAACTGAAAACATTCAAAATGGACAATCATTAGGATAATTTCAATATAATCTTCTATGTACCATGTCCCTTCAGAATGTGGACAATCATGGCTCTCCACAATTTCTTATCTCTTATTATCATTTGTCTAATTGCCATAAGTCCAACCCACCCCATTCCACTATCCAATCACACAAGCTGGTGGTTTGCTGCCTCTCCCTGTCTCTTTTGCTGGAAATATTGTAGGCAGAATATCTATATATCTTCTATGTGCTGTGTCCCTTCAGGATGTTGACAATCATGACTCTCCACAATTTCCTGTCCTTTGTAGCTCTTAATAAATTTTATCCTTTTGTTGTCTCCCCTAAACTTTGCTCTGCCATCCATCTACTCAAGCTTTCTTGCTGGGTTATGTGTAGTGTTCCTCTGTCTCTCTTGCTTTCAACTTGTCCTGTGAGTATTAAGTTTTCCAAGTCCTCTTTCCTCTTTATGAGCCCTAGAAATTTCAACTAGCTCTTCCTGATGTTAAGTATAAATGTCCTTTTTGTTTTTATTTTCTCTAAAACTTTGTTGTTGCTCACATGTTTGGTCTATGGTATTGTTAGCATACTTCTGTAGAACCAATATTTCTGTTTGCTTCAAGATTCTTCATCTGTGAAAAGTTTGTCCAGCATTCACTGCCATATAGAACTGATATTACATAACTGTTCAGCACCCTTTGTTTCTAATTAAATTTTCCAGTATCTTAATACTTTGCTTAGCTTTTGGAAGGCATCTTTCACTATTCCAATTCCTTTGGATTTCTATTAACATTTTCTGTCATCTGTTATAACTCTTGGTTTTGATGTTTACAATTTGTAGCTCACATCTTGCTGATGACTACAGTGGTGGAAATAAACATAAGACACCCCATGAAATTGTTAATAATTTTCTTATTACTGTACAAATTCCTCTGAAAATTTGTTTGTGGTACCTAGATCCGATGGGTATTAGTATACATATTTGATTTTATAACAACTTTCAGATCTCCACAGTGCTTTTATTGAGACACCATAGCTCACTGTTGACTCATCAATAGTTATTCTGCTCCTCAAAGACTAAGAAGAAAACAGAAATGTGGTTCTACAGAAGGATACTGAGAATACCATGGACTGAACATGTGAGCAATAACAAAGTTTTATAGAAAATGGAAGCAAAAAGGATACTTATAGTTAACATCAGGAAGAGACAGTTGAGGTTTCTGGGGCACATAGCGAGGAAGGAGGGCTTGGAAAATCTGCCACCCATGGGACGAATAGAGGGCAAGAGGGGCATAAAAAACCAACACATAAGATACTTAGTGAACTTGAGTAAATGGATGGCGGAACAGGGTTTAGGAGAAATAACAGAAAGATGAAGCTTATTAAGAGCTACAAGGGACAGGAAGTTATGGAGAGCCATGATTAATTACATCCTGAGGGGATACGGCATATAAAGAAGATACTTAACATCTGAAAGTTAAAGTTTCTAGGGAACATAATGAAAGAAAGAGGGCCTAACAAATTAGACAATGACAGAAAAGATTGAAAGCAAGAGGGACAAAGGAAAACAATGTATAACCTAAATAGTGACATTGTGCAAATGGTTAGCAGAATAACAATTAAGAGTGATAGCTAATAAAAACATTGTTTTATGAAATTAAAGTAATTGTGAATTCAGTGGAAAATGGGGCAAGTAATAACTTTTTTTTTTTTTTTTATCCTTTCACCCAAAGCAAGGTGGAAATGCCACGAGTACTCATTGGGTAACAAAGAGTGAAAATGAGAGAAAAGAGGATTGAGGAAAGGATAAATGATGAACAGAATTCAAGATGGAGGAGGATGGCGATAGACATTGCATTTAAATTTTTGAAGATTGTATTTATCAGAGAAACAGGTAAATGGAAGGGAGTCCCACAGGCGGGAAGTACGAGAAAAGAAACTGTTGGAGTAGAAGTGGCAGTTACATTTAACTATTTCAACAGTAAAAGGGTGGGACCTAAATACTAATCTAGTAGCACATTTAAATTCATATAGCCATGGCACCAGGGAAAAAGCCTGTCAGAGCAGTTGCCATGAAAATATTTGTAGAAAAGACAGAGGGAAGCCACGTCACATCAGTGAGGAAGTGACTGAAGTCGAGATGCCAAGTCAGGATCGATTACATTGTAGATCCTTCTTTGGATTTTGTCAAGAACCTTGAGATGAAAATCAGGAGCACCAGACCAGATATGGAAACAGTATTCAATGCACGGACAAATGGTAGATTTGTAAATGAGCAAGATGGATTCTGATGAGAAAAACTTTCTGGCGTGACACAGTGGCCCAACTTTCGTTGCAGTAGATGCAGTTCTTGATTCAATTTAGTCATTTCACTCAAGTCGGTTCAAAAAAATAACTGAACAGAACCTATCACAACTAGATGAGCTATCACTAGATAGGGGCAGTAGAACAAGAACAGTCTACCCCTGTAGATCAAATAAAGGGTTTAGTTTGAAATTCTCTAAGGGTGACCCTGATTGAGATCACCTAACAAAGACCTGAGGGCACAATGGACTAAATATTGAGTTAATAAGTACAAAGATGTAGTCAGCAGTCCTTGTGTGAATAATCATACATTTTTCTGCACCAAAACAAGCATAAAACTGAACTAGGGCTTTCGGAGACATATAAATGTTTTTTAGATATTAATGTTTATGGCCTCCTGGTGACCATTGCTCATACAAATGTAACTGCAATTGGATTAAGTTAATATATTAATAATTTCGTAATGTCGAAATTAATCTACCTAACGAGATTTCTAACAGTAGAGTAATAGTTGGTCTCTAAGATCGTTATAAATGGTGATCGATCCTGAGTGAGTGCCACACTCATGGCCTTTTTCGAAACTAAACTGTGCTTGTTCAATATTCAGCGATGTCAATTCTGATCGTCTCTTTCTCATGGAAGGGCATGTAGATTTAGGGGAATAGCACAGAAAATGGAATTGGTGCAATGAGTTCAATTCCTGACCGAGTCTATTTCGTTTGAATTGGAAAAGGCATAAGCTAATCTCCTTCGATTGTGGGTTAAATAGCAGGATAGATTATGCTTTCTTGTCTTGACTGTCTGCCAATCCTGGAGAAAGAAATACCTGCTTTTAAACCGCAGTAAATAATAAGATAGCCGGTCTAGAAAAAACACAACTCTAAATTCAAAATCAGCCTGAACAGCAATACCCTGTGCGACTTTGAATGAGTAAAATTAAAACAAACAAGAGATCAGCCATTATTAATAAATTCTTCTTTGTTGACTAATTGGCACTTTTTGTCTTCTCTTCAATGTGACTGTTGCTCAAATGTCGCTCAAGAAAGGTGTAAATAATTCAAGTTGTCCTGAGTGACAACCATCAGTGGTCTTAATTGGATTAAGTTGATATATTAATAATTTCGTAATGTTGAAATTAATCTACCTAACAAAATTTCTAACAGTAGAGTAATAGTTGGTCTCTAAGATAAATGGTGATTGATCTTGAGTGAAAAATGTTCATAGAAAAAAATAAAGCAGTCATTATAAAATGTTCATAACTTTATATTTTCTGATTTGGAAATTTTCAGCAAGACTGCGACTTTATATGGCAAAACAGAAAGATTTAGTTTAGCTAACTTGATTGACACAAAGGGCGGGCCCAGTTTAACATTATACTTACATTGTAAATAATACCAAAAGTTATGTCGGTTGGTAGCACTTGTTAGGGTTCCAGCTATGGGCAAATAGTTAACCCCCAAACTGGGGTCAATACAATATGAAAGCATAAATATAGATTTTTTTTTTTATAGTAAAAAATACAAGTAATATATTTTTGAAAAAAAAAATTTTCAGCAATACAGTTGACTCTGAACAATAACCCAATTTACAAAAATATGTCAATGAAACCTGATCTACAAACTGATTTCTTACAAAGATATATATTCTATTCATACAAACCTATACTAAAAAATCTTGTTGACATTTAATAACCAATTGAGGTGTTATTATGCTGTAAAACATAATAAACCAAACCAACTAAAAGTTATATTTAAAAAAACATACCCTAAAGAACCATTAGTAACTGCATAACATCTGGTGCTCATTGTTTGAGTTGGCTTTGAGTCCTGCAATTTCAAACTGACAAAAAAGTAAGATATTTGTTGAATTATATTTCTTTT